TTTGTTTATGTTAATATTATGTTCGACATTGTTCAGTTATGTTTGATATACACGACGTTCCGGGGGGGGGGTTGATTCAGGCGATTATTTGTTATTATACTAGAATTTTGATTATTAATTTTCGATTTTTCTTTTACGAATATATTTCAATACGAACTTCTTAAGTAGGCGTCGTGCCATGTCTGGATGGAGAATTTGCACGCGAGGAAGATGCTTCTTTGCAAGGTCATCTTTTTTCTTTTGCTGAAGGGCCCGGGGGTGGAGGGTGGCGTATTGAAGAACAAGGTCTTTATCGCGTTCCTCTTGTGTAAGTCTGAACGGAGACAAAGAAGAAGTGTTTGATTAATGCACACTTTCTTTTGTGTGTTGGGAAGGAGGGGAGGGGGCTCCATGGGACGGATTAAGTCATCGGCCCTGGCTGTCGTCACAGGATCCTGGACCCATTTTTCACGCCACTTGCCTCCACGCGTCTCTCCTGCTTCACTTCACTTCATTACACTTCACGTGAGGTGCCCCACGGTGCTGGTGGTGGAGTCACTGCCTGCCTGCTTTGCCCGAAAGAACTGCAATCTCCCAACACTTCATTTCGCTGGTTAGTCCAGTAGCAATAATATATTAAAGATGGCTGTCTCCTGGGTTGTTGCACCGTGTAGTCGTAGAAACGAGCAGCGTTTGAGATGTGCTTACTGCCTCCATAATCAGGGCAATGAGACCCTGTCTCTCTCCATCCTCAGGGAAATATAGCCTTGTTGCGTGATTTACATTGAAACACTGCCTATTTTCAGAATTCTACGACTGGGGAAAATATATTTGAATTGAGCAATATAATAGTATAAAATGGACGCTTGAAGCCTGTGGTAAATTCCATTCTGGAGTGAAGACATTTTGCTGGAAATTGTTAAACATCCGCTAGAATATAAAAGTCTGGAAGAGAATTACTCTGTACCAGTCCAGTTCTGCATAAGTCACTGTCGTCAGACATGTCCGTCTGTTCGTGAAGGGTTTTGTCGAATAATTGCGGATTCTTCCGAGGGTTGAGAAGGTACAGTCTGCGGCATGGGAGCAGACGGGGGAGGAGGGATTTTCAGTTGGTTCATGTCAGCAGATCTGTTCAGCGATTGAGGAGTGAGAGCCTTAGCCCTCAGATGCAATCCTATTGCTTAGGGCTGCTCATTTTGGGGCCATTCATTCACTGAACTGAAGCTCCCCCCCCCAACCCAACCCCGCTTGTTGCGTCCAGTCAGCAGTTGCAGATAAATCGATCAAGGCTTTCGACTATTGCTGGATACAAAGCATAGCGCTACTTATTGGTTTTAGTGTCTCGAAATCTGGTGTTTGGTAAAAATAACTTCTTAAAATTATTCTCAGATAATTATTAGTAATAGTAGTAGTAGTTAAGGGAATGTAGCAACCTTAGTATAGATGCTTCTGTAATCAGGGCGATGATGGAGGCAGTATGGACCTCTGAAACGTTGGTAAATCTCTACCAGACTTCACGGTGCAACAACCCAGAAGACAGGCGTCTTCAGACTCACCACCGTGAAAACCTCAAATCCTACACACATTTTAATATTATGCTCCCATCTATACCTAGATCTTCTGAGTAGTATCTTCCAACTATATTCTGTACGTGTACTCCGTATTCTTCATCCTTGCTATACGACCTGCCCATCTCGCATTGGTGTTGCTCTGACTCATTAGCAGAAGGTAAATGCAAAATACTGTTGTTAGTCTATCCTGTTCGAAGGCCGGTTTAACCTTTCTTAGTTGATTACCGCTCGCTGTAAGAATAAACGTCGACATTGATTCTTAGCTTGTAGTGCGTTTTACGTGGTGTCGCGAGGCCGTGTCTGGCTGGCATTTCCCCACCCGCAGGCATGATTCAGGCAGACACACACACACAGGCTGCGTTTAGTTTTTAACCCCTTCAGTATTAATTTGTGTATTGAACGCGAGGAGCGAGTTTGAACCCCGCCTCTCCCCTTTTGTGTCGTGAATAAAAACTTGGTCTTGTGGCAGTCGAAGTTCGGGCATGGTCAATCCGTAGCCGGTGGATCTGGAATTGTCACGATTGATACATGAGTCGCCTGAGACCAGCCATTTCATGTATCATAATTACACGTCACAGCCAGCCCCTGCAGGGTTAAGCTGATGTAGACAATAAGCTCCCTTTTAGGTTCCGTCAAAGCATTTGCCAGAATATGTTAAATTCAAATAATAATACGTGATGACTACCCGCTGGCTTGTTGCTTATTATAGTCTGGTAGATGTTTACCGACGTTTCGGACGTACATTCATCGCCCTGAGGCAGAAATAACCTCTGAAAAGTCCGTAATCTTCTACCAGAATACACGGTGCGTTATCACCTCAATACTAAGGCGACAAAGTGGTCCCTTAGTAAAAAGTTCGTCGCGGTTATAAAAATATTATAAGGCTCAGGGACACAGTTCGACCCCGGGAAAGGGACAGGTACCATGTGACATGGCGCGAAAGTATTAATATCAATAATATTAAATTGTTTATTCGACTGAAGTGATTTCTAATTTATGGGAATGGAATTTTTGTAGGTAATTAGTAAGTATTTTTTGAAAATTAATGAGTTTCGCTCTTTGCAGGATGTGCACGTGGGGCGAAGAGAAGTCATCCGTTGACGCTCTGCGGCTGTAGTCGGTGAGTGTTGCCTCTTTTCTGAAGGGTGTCACGGGAAACTGGACTGGGTTGCTGATTCTAATGGAAAATGATCACGTTCTGGTATTCCCATAGAAGGACTTTGGACGAGTCGTAGTGCAGGCACGCCTAGATTGAGAGCAACCTCGAAACTCTAGGAGACATCGTTCATATACATTTATTCCCCAGCGCCGAAGCTGGTAGCGAGGTCTCCTCAACGATAATGAATTTTTTACATTTCGTTTGGGGTGGGACGAATTGTTTTGAAGGTACGAGTGATTATAAGCTCTTTGGAAGGTTTCTGTTGCGCGAAGTGTGATTTTGACACTGTCCAAGGTTCGTTAAGGTTTGTGCGTATTGATACACGTGCCAATATTTTTACTTCTCAGAATAACCAGTCTACGTGTTGCGCCGAACGTTCTGGCCGAGATTTAACGTTTTTGAATCAGAATTTAATTAACTTAAAATTATTTACTGCCAATTAGTACGTGTCATGAAATCGACGCGGAGCACCTGTGTCGTTTACAGCCGGCGTAGTTCATGTATGAATAACAGAAACACGCACGTGTGATTTGCGTGTCAATTAATCCGATTAGCAGCAAAAATCAGTAGAGGCGCTGCGGTCGTTCAGCGAACAGTGCAAAACGCATCACAGACTGGAACCGGATGTGCTGGTCTGGAGCGCCGTCAGTGGAAATTCGGTTTCCGGCCCCTTTGAGTCTGGTGTCAGGTAGACTCCGCGACGGAAAGTCTGTAAATCTTCACCACAGTAATGTAATCAGCAGTTTTCTCTTTAAATAGCTTACTCTTTGGGCCCCTCCATGTCCGTCCGTCCGTTTGAACTTTCCCGCATTACCGGATGTCATTGCTAAATAGTGTGGACCTAATGTTTTTTGTAATTACTAGCCCACGCCTTCTCGTCGTTGGACACCCCTTTGTCTCTGCCATCTGAGATACGTCATCCAGGGCTCAGTATGATCGGAACGGTCCCCAAGACTTTTACCCACACGCTGGACTAGGTCATTTCCGGGGACATCCTCAGGTAATTCCCCCAATCCTAGTTTTGTCTAACTCTCGGGGCCTTACTACCCAGGCCACTTTCCAGGAGCTTTGCCCCACTGACCACCTCTTCCCTGCAATGGCGACAAGGCATGGACACCCCTGTGATTCCACGAGCATGGTTGCTTTGTTAGTGCAACAGCGACCCATGTCATGGGGCAAAGAGAACTTCTTTCAAAACTTGTTTGCTTTGTGATGAACCCTTAGTACTAAAATACTTAATTGGACTCTACCTGTACGTGATATTTATCTCGTTACAGAAAGAATTATCGACGTCTGATCTACAATGTAACATCCGCTTCTCTCCCACGTTTTCATACGTCTTCTGTTTCCGATTGTTAATTTCAGAACACTTGAGTAACATTGCATGCATTTACTTTGACGTCGTTTAGTCGGTAAGCGACCTTATTTGCTGTAATCCATGAAGGAACCAGTTTTATATATACAAGATTTATTACAACGTCTCTCAGAAGTACTAAATAGTATAAAAAAATTGTGATGTGACTTAATTTCATGTTCGAACTTATATTTAATGACTGGCGTACTCTGCTACTTAACTTTTCATAAGAATCCGTACAGTTGTATTACCATTTGAGATGCATTTCTCGATGAGCCCAAAGCGTTTCGATTAGTTGGTTCTGCAAAATCTTGAAATGTTAATTATTTCAGAATCTGAACAGGCCATACGGTCTAGATGGCGTATCACCTAACTGTCTGACAGTGACCACCATCTTGTAACTTATAGAAGCTGTTAAGTTCACCGTGAAAAATACACGTGTTCTTACAGTTAAACAGAAACTTTTGAATTATACAATACAGCACTTGAAGATTTCCGTCTTCTGGGTTGTTGCGCTGTGTAGTCTGGTCGATGTTTACCAACGTTTCAGAGGTCATACTGCCTCCGTCATCAGGGCCCTGATGACGGAGGCAGTATGACCTCTGAAACGTTGGTAAACATCGACCAGACTACACAGCGCAACAACCCAGAAGACGGAAATCTTCAAGTGCTGTATTGTATAATTCAAAAGTTTCTGTTTAACTGTAAGAACACGTGTATTTTTCACGGTGAACTTAACAGCTTCTATAAGTTACAAGATGGTGGTCACTGTCAGACAGTTAGGTGATACGCCATCTAGACCGTATGGCCTGTTCAGATTCTGAAATAATTAACATTTCAAGATTTTGCAGAACCAACTAATCGAAACGCTTTGGGCTCATCGAGAAATGCATCTCAAATGGTAATACAACTGTACGGATTCTTATGATTACATTTGTATACTAACAAAGATGTACCAAATCGAATTGTATTAATAGTAAACTGATTTTACTATTTGTCAATCCACGCAAACTAACCAGCATATGGTTGAAATTGCTGATGGCTTTGAATAATACCACCATAACCACCATAACCACCAGTTCCACCGTAAATACCACCATAACCACCAGTTCCACCGTAAATACCACCATAACCACCAGTTCCACCGTAAATACCACCATAACCACCGTAGCCACCATAGCCACCGTAGCCACCATAGCCACCATAGCCACCATAACCGCCTGTAAGCGGATAATTACCTCCATATCCACATTTAACAAACGGCCACTGGTTTAAGTGGTAACATCCGCTTTGTACGGGCATAACGCAACCTCCCATACAGTGGGAGGGGCACTGGTTGTACTGGTAGTAACATCCCTGATACTGAGGCTGCACGATTACCGGAGGAGGCGGCTGTATCACCTGCGGAGGAGGTTGTATCACCTGCGGAGGAGGTTGTATCACTATTGGAGGTTGTTGAATGCACTGAGGTCCGCATGCATAGTTGTACGAGACAGGGGGGCAATGCTGGAATGGGGGGAAAGGTTGGGGGGTGCAGGGGGGCCGATGGACGACTCTGCAGCACGGCTGGGTCGGCGTCGTGCGATTCGAGCACGTTCCAGTCGTGGTAATCGTGTGGGTGGCATTTCGGATCGTAGTGACTCCCCCACACGTCTGGTTCAGGGTGTTGTAAATGATAGGAGGCGTTTGGTTTATGAAGATGGTAATGTTTGGCAGCGTTATGCTTGGGAAGACGGGGATATTTGGTGAGGTTATGTTGACGCAACATTGGCTGTTGGTGTTTTTTACACAACAGTCTTCTCTCTTGCTACTTTTGCAACAGTCTTGTTCCGGGCAGCAGTTACTACAGCATGAACCTTGACATGTGTCACATTTTACGCTGGGGCAATTACAGGTACTGACTTTAGGACAGCAAGAGTTACAGCATGCATTAGATGTCTGACACGTATCGCAAGAAACTGACGAACACTCGCAAGTGTTCTGACGACAGCAAGAGTTACAGCATGCTTTGGAATGCGAACACGTGTTGCAGTCTATCGAGGAACATTTAGATTCAGGACACCCTGTAGCTACTACCGTGTTATGACACTGGTTGCTGAGGCAGCTGGAGTAGGATCTGTAGTCGGTCCCTGTACATGGAGTGTTGACGCAAGTCGCCTCAGCGCCTCTCAGGAAGCACACGGCGACGGTGGCAACCAGCAGCTTCACCCACACGTTCATCTGAAACCTATTTCTCAATTTGTTTCAGTTTTTTTCTGCTCTCCTCGTCTCATTTTGATCTGGGTTTGACGAGAACAGGGACAGATACCCTAACCTTACCATGCAGACATACTAACAGAACACGAAAATGATCCTTTTAGAAACTGTTTCGTAATACAGCATTGAAATCAAGCGCTTGAGATGGGCGTGTAGAATGAACGGAAGAGAAGAGAATTTTGATTGGAGAGCCTGGAGGTCAGAGGCCATTCGAAATACCTAGGCGCACATGGGGGATAATATTAAAATGTGAAATTTTGTGATCTCACCGCCGTGAAGATTCCGATGTAATTCTTCTGGAATGCGTCTCTGTCTTCAGCCACGAAGATGGAAGTTGTATGAGTCTCCGAAACGTTGGTACCTAACGTACGATTTCAGACTACGTCACAGCCCAAAAGAACATTGATAATATTAAAACGGACCTTGGAGGTCGAATGTGGATTGATTCATCTGGCTCAAGGCAGGGACCGGTGACGGACCCTTATGAACACGGTAACGAACCTTAGGGTTCTGTAAAAGGGCGGAGATTTATGGCCAGATGCGCGACTATCAGCTTTTACAAACCAAGGGGGGGCCCCCGCTCCATGGTGTCATAGGGACAGTTAGTTATGTAGTATAGAATGACAGGAATTGGAAAGGTTGTGAATGAAATGAGCTGTGGCCTACTTTAAGGCAGAGTTTTATGGATAATTGCCTAGAGCGAAATGAAAGCTTAAGTTGAAGTAGCCCCTACCCACGGCGAAGGTTGCATTGTATAGTCTAGTAGATTTTTACTGACGTTTCAGAAGTCCCTGCTCTCTCCGTTATCGCCTTGATGTTGCAGGCAACGTCGGCTAACTTTTACGCGGCACAACAAAGCGGAAGGCGGCCATTTTCACGGAACACCCTGATTTTCACAGCTGCCACTTTCGATGCGCTTTGTGACGAAACCAGGAACTTGTTTACCGTTTGTCAGCCGCTTTGTTTACGAAGTTATTACGGGAATTAAAAATTAAGTAAGCGATGGACACCAGTTTCGGTCAGAGTTTTTATTTCGCTTGTAGAATTGAGTAGATTGCCACTGATATCTCGTTGTAATTATCCCATAAAGAGACCTTTCAGATCAGATAATATAGCCCTTAATGAGAACTTGTAATAAAATTCAGGAGAATTAGATGGACAGAATATGTAGAACGCATGGATAATTTAAAATTATACAAACAGTTTTTGTTACGAAACCTGAATGGAAGAGACTGCTTTCGAAGCACAGGCTTAGATTTGAGGATAATATTAAAGTGGATCTTAATATGTAATGTGTGAGCATGGGGACTGTGTTGTTTTTTCCTCCTATGGGAGGGTCCAGCGCTGGACTTTGGAAGATGGGGATTTCTTGGCAGCTGAAACGAAGTACCCGCTTGTTAACTTAGTAAGACCTTGCTTACGCGCGTGCTTTGATTGGAAGTGATGGACAGCACACCGTGAAAGCGACAACAGAACAGAAGACTTGGAGGTCAAACTCCACGTATTCATAGTTTTGGGATTAGATGGAGCTGAGAGTAGTCTGTTTATCCCGATACGTTTTAGACGGGCCTAAAGTTTGGTTTGGACGTAATTTGGAAAGGAAGAATCGTGGCCTAAATGTTGGTTGTTACCCAGTCAAAGACGAGCCCTCCGTAACAAAACGACGTTTCGACCCACTTACCCCCAGCAGCAAATAACAAATCGCACTTGAAATGCGTTGTTAAGTAATTGTATGCAGCAGAATCTGATGGTTACTTAGCTGGTCAAGAAATTCCTAGCGGTTTGTGAAATCCGAAGTTCTGTTGCCGTGTTCTCGACATTTAGTTGTGTCCTTATCCTCATACGCTTATGATTAATCTTAATGTTATCCTCATATTTACGCTTCGGTCTTCCAAATTCTGATCTCTCCTCAGATTTTGTGACAATATTTTAAAGACTTACATGTCGTAATTTATAATAGTCATCAGTCATTTGGTGAGATTTCAGTTCTCACAGCGGTGAGTATAAAGAAGTTACGTCTTGTAGTCTAGTTGAAGTTTGCCGGCGTTTCAGAGGTTCTTGCTGCTTCCATAATCAGAATGACAAGTCTCTTATCGTCCTGACGATGGAGACAGTAAGAACCTCTGAAACGTATGTAAGACTTGAGGTTCTCACAGCGGTGAGTATGAAGATATCCGTCTTCTGGGTTATTGCGCTGTGTAGTCTGGTCGATGTTAACCAACGTTTCAGAGGTCATACTGCCTCCGCCATCAGAGTATGAAGATTTCTGTCTTCTGGGTTCTTGCGCTGTGTAGTCTGGTTGATGTTAACCAACGTTTCAGAGGTCATACTGCCTCCGCCATCAGAGTATGAAGATTTCTGTCTTCTGGGTTCTTGCGCTGTGTAGTCTGGTTGATGTTAACCAACGTTTCAGAGGTCATACTGCCTCCGCCATCAGAGTATGAAGATTTCTGTCTTCTGGGTTCTTGCGCTGTGTAGTCTGGTTGATGTTAACCAACGTTTCAGAGGTCATACTGCCTCCGCCATCAGAGTATGAAGATTTCTGTCTTCTGGGTTCTTGCGCTGTGTAGTCTGGTTGATGTTAACCAACGTTTCAGAGGTCATACTGCCTCCGCCATCAGAGTATGAAGATTTCTGTCTTCTGGGTTCTTGCGCTGTGTAGTCTGGTTGATGTTAACCAACGTTTCAGAGGTCATACTGCCTCCGCCATCAGAGTATGAAGATTTCTGTCTTCTGGGTTCTTGCGCTGTGTAGTCTGGTTGATGTTAACCAACGTTTCAGAGGTCATACTGCCTCCGTCATCAGGGCGATGAATCGCCCTGATGACGGAGGCAGTATGACCTCTGAAACGTCGGTAAACATCAACCAGACTACACAGCGCAATAACCCAGAAGACGGATATCTTCAACCTCTGAAACGTCGCTGAAATTCTGCTAGACTACAAGTGTTCTGAATCAGTCGTTTGTTTCAATGCTCCCAGTCGCTTTACTTAAAGAGTAATTAAAATGGAATGAAGTAATTAAAACACCACAGTTTATCAGGTAGTTTCTGAGTAGTAAATAAAGCAACTTAGCGATTTCTCAACTTACCTTGCAGAGTTTACGGCCGTAGGCAGGAACTAATAAAAGGAACGAGCACTTGGGAACTGGCAGCGGACTCGCGGAATGCTGTGCCGGTTATCTGTAATTGTGGTATCATTTATAGGCCCCCCCAGTTACCAAGGGGCGTGACCCACTGAAGCTCTTGGTTCTCTCGAAAAACATTGATCTTTTGCAATGGTGAAGCAGTCTGCCCTTCTGCGTATGAAGATAATTATTAGTCGGAGAAATAAAGGCGGATGGGAGGATAATATTAAAATTGATAACAGAATAAGGGCCATTGCATTCCCCAGCTTTGTACTTGAAGAAGGAAACAGATCTGGTTTCCAAAACGTCGTGTTTGTGATTAGGTTTGTGTTGTAAGTTCTTCAAACTGTTTTAATAGTTTTGTTTGAAAATAAGATCGATTATGAATTTAATTTAACAACTAAATTATATTTCACATGGAACAGAGATTACTTATGAATGCTTTTAATCGATTATGAATTTAATTTACCAACGAAATTATATTTCATATGGAACAGAGATTACTTATGAATGCTTGTCCCTAAGTGAGGTTAATATACAATGAGAACTTTCGGGGATACGCCGCGTCGAGTCTTTTCGACGTTTCGGAAAACATTCCAGTCGCCATATCCAGAATTAAACTTCAGTGTGGCTTGTCTTTGGAAAACCGAAGTTATAAACACTCATAGATAATAAAATGTATTTTCAAATATATTGTAAAGGAGCTTGGTCCGATTAGCCATCAACTTTATCATGACGTGGGACTGAGACGAATCTAAGTAGACCATCCCGATGATCTCGTACTGGAATACTAGACCTTGTATTCAGCAGACCCCTGGTTCGATTGCAGGTGTTGCCAATATCAGGATAAAAACGCGATAAGAATATCTCAATATTATGACATCCAATTGTTTAAAAGCTGGAGTAGAGATAACTCCAGAAATGTGGATATCATGTAACTCAAACAGTGGACAGCGACCAACGCATTATTCATCGTTTAGAGATTCCAGTAGTTCCTTGTGTATGTAAGCTGAATTGGCGTAAACCAAAATGTAAAGGATTCTGGACTTCGTGTGTAACAACCAAAAATTGTACAGGTGGACGTGACACTAGTTAGGGCTAGGACAGGATGCGAATTCTGACGAGAAAGATCAAATGTAGGCTAAACCTTCTAGTAGGAGAATACAGAATTTCGGTAGATTTTTTTAATAAGAAAAATAAAAAAGCTATGCAATTTAGCTCGTGTAAATAAGGATTTAATAAATTCTTTTGAATAAATCGAGCTCCTGTTTTCGGAGAGAGTTTCATGCAATAGTTTTTACCAATACTTCGTCTGACGATACCGAAAGACGAGTATTTACAATGAAACTTAAAAGTGAAGATTTCCGTCTTCTGGGTTGTTGCGCTGAATAGTCTGGTAGATGTTTACCAACGTTTCAGAGGTCATACTGCCTCC